ATCAAATATGTGTTGGGATAAATTTTTAAATACCCGTATTCGCTTTGAATATTATTGGCTTTCGAGGAAGAGCGCCTAGGGGATAGGCAGTACGGTGCCACTGCTACGTCCCGTGCGCACGCCGTTAGCCTAACTGCCAGGCGATCTCTGCACGCCCATAGCACTTCGTGCGAAAAAGGTGAGGCGTTGCCGAGGTACGGTCCCGAGGTCCCGGCCGGGGTTGCAAAGCCTTAGCGGTGAGTAGAGTTTGGTGTTCGGCGCAGCGGGCGTCGCGTGGTTCTCCCCAAGTTTCCACAGATTCCCGCGCTCTGTAATGGGCAATGTGCGTGCGGCGCTGCGCGGCGCGGCCAGCCGGCCCGGCCCCGCGAGGGCTGCCACCAAACTCCCAGCTGCGTCACCACGCCACCGCGCCGCCGCGAGCGGCTCAACTTGGGCGAAGCGACACGTCACTGTGACAACTGCACCGCCAGGCCCCTCCCTCACACGCAGAGGGGTATAAATCTCGATAAATCTCTGCGCGCTGGTCTCGCTACCCCCGCCCTTGTTCGTCTTGTGTTCTTGTTGGAATAAAAGTAGTTCATCACCTTTGTTGCCACTGGCGGTGTGTGACGACGCAATAATTGTTACAAGCTGCCACGCATCACTGTAAAAAATATCGTGTCGTAAATTCACAAAATTTTTGTCAACTAGAATTATAATTTAAGTTTGTAAATTTACGAGAGCACATTTTTTTACTCGCATTTTAAGTCGATAGGAACTACATGTATATTTACGATTGCAACTTATAATTTTACAACTTGCGTCAGGGAAAATGTTCCTGTAAACCTTCCTACTATTTTTCACAGTTGGAAGCATTCTTGTTGCGCCGCCTTACAGAATCCCCGTCCAAATGGCATAGAGACGAGCACTTAGCAGCGCCTTTTGATGTCGGCGGCTCGCGCTGGCCGGCGCAGGGCAGCGGCTGTCGCAGCGGAGGCAGTGGCCGGGAGGCAGAGGCGCACTGCAGCGGCTCAGACTTAATAATAACCCTCTCCCTGGCCGTGGCCCAAGTCGACCTCACGCACAGCTGCTTGTCCCCAAACACTTCCCTCCCTGTTCACGGCCACCGCAAGAACCGGCGCCCTGCCCTCACCCCTAAGACACACACACATATACACACGCACACACACGCACACTGAAACTGTATGTACTTCTACTTCGTACAAAATAGTACGGAAGATCTCTGAACACTCAGAGCTTCTACATAAAACTAGGCAGCCCATTGCGGTTTAAATCATTTAAGCAACATTCTTTTCTGATCTTTTTTAAATTGTTTTCATTTTCTGTTCGTAGCTCCCCAGTTAAGCTGCGCGCGCAGGGTTGTCCACCCGGTCCAGCCGTCCGAGTGTGTGAGAGAAAAAGTGAGAGGGAGGAGGTGAAGAGAGAGGAAGCGCTGCTCGCCTAACGAAATGTCAACAGCTCGGCAAGGCGTGAAGCTCTTTTGCAAAAGAAAAACTAGCACGACCGAATACAAACAAGCGCGCTAAGAAGAACAATACCAGAAATAAATAGGACCAAATCGGTACGCGAGAGAGGGGGCGGAGGGTTGAGGAGAGGGGGTGATGCTGGAGGGGTCCGGTCAGCTGAGAAAGGTGCTCTCAATGCGAAAGAGGACAGTGAAGGACATCTCAGAATAACTCACGTGTCCCGAACGGCTCACTCTGCATGGTTATGTCAATGGAGAACCACCCCGTTACTCACCTGCAACAAAAGAGAAAAGAAAGAAAATTAAAAAACGCGTGGACGGCAAAAAAAAAAAAAAAAAAAAAGAGTTAAATAGTTTTCCTCGAAACGTTTGCGACAATCTGCCACCGCTGCAGAGACAAGCCACACGAGGCGCTCAAAGTGACGTCCGCGGCGCACCGAGAGGCGCTGAGAAGCCAACCGAAGAGCCCAATCCTCCGGCGGATACCTCGACCAGGCTGCGGCTAGAGCCCCTGCTGACTCCGGAGGGATCTGCTCGAGGGGGCGGCGGAATGTGCTCGACGGGGTGGATCCACGCGGGGGATCACCCCTCGCCCGCCCAAGAAGAGGCAGAAGAAGGGGTTGCGATAACAAAAGGGCGGACGGACAAAAGGGGGGTAAAATGGGGAGGGATCAGGGGCGGCAGAGATAAGTATTGCGGTGACAGAGAGGATAAGGGCATGACGACAGGGCACATGCTCCACTTCCTCCGCCTCAATTTTTAAGAAAACTACGCAATGTCAAATAAAACGGGGATCAAAAGGCTTGTTCTGAGTTTCGGGTAGCGGTCCACCGCCGACCAAACTACTCACGGGCAGCAAGGCGTGCGATCTGAATCGCTGATAACGGTTATGCAAGCCCCTCGCGGCGGGATCGCACAGCAGGGAAGCCCCTCGACGCCAAACAATCCGGCGAGGAGAAAACTTTTCGGAGGGAGGAGGGTTTATTAAAAGGACTCGCAGAGATGACAGCGGACGCCACGTTGTCTCCCCTACCGCCCTCGACCCCCCACTTCAACAGTCGGCCCGCTGAGACAGTTCTTCTCTCAATCTCACCGCACCCCACCCCACTTAAAGCCTGACCTACCCCC